AGTATAAAATTTAAAGAAAAAAAGTGAAATAATCACACTCATACAGAGTAGCTTTGTAGATATCAGAGGTTTAAGCATCAGATGGAGCAGCTGTTAACCGCGATTTCTTTATGATCGCGACGCGACAATAGCGAATGAATCACGAATTTAGAGCGAGCATTCCTGGATCACGACAAAACCGCGATCGCGTTACGCGCACTTATCGCGACCCGTGGCCAGATGTGCAGAATCTACCTGGAAATTTTTTCTGTACAAAAAAAGTTTTTCAAAAAATTCTATTGACATAATCCATGAACAGAATTTCTTTTTGCAATATATTTACAAAAAGAAGTTCCTATTTTTCAAAAGATTTTCTCAAATCAATAAGTTTTCCCCCAACGGTCGTCGGAGCAAACAGACAGATTCTGCAGCTCTACCAGCGGCGAGATAAGGACAAACAAGAAAGCTGACTTCGTTTATCCTATGCATATTAAGATATTATTTACAACTTGTAAGTGCTTCATTTCAAACCAACTATGGCTTTAAGAAGTGGATAAAAGGAGATTACAATGCGCTCGGTTTTGAAAAGGAAAATGTCTTCTGTTCAAACAAACATTACTAGATAAATAGAAATAAATCTATATCGTCTTGTGCTTCCTACATTGTTACATGTTCATATGAATATATTGGATGTTCCAAAAGGTTTGCAATATTCTGTATTTTGCATATATCTCCGTCCAGAAATATGCTAAAATTTTAATTCTGTTTGAGAGCATGCGCTATTTAATTCTCTACAAAAGACATATTGAACATTTTTGTATATAACTTAAAGATGAGATTAAGTATATTAAATATACTTCGTTTTTATAAAAAAAACATAAAATAGTCAAAGAATGTCAATATATTTAAAAATAAGAGATTATGGAGGAAACACTGTTAATGTGCAATTTGGAGTACTTCCTAGTCTAAAAGACACTAGTTAACAAATTTATTTTGAACACGTTCCCATACATCAAAGTGGAATAAAATATATGTTCTGAGACTCCAGAGTGTTGCCTTTTTTCTTTTCGTATATAATAGATTCTTTCTTTCATAAATGAATTAGATTACATATACATCATTATAGGCAATCAAACAAACATGCAATTCTTGTCCTTTGTGTGTATTTGTTCCATTACTTCTTGAAATGCTGAGACAATCGAACTGTTCTATTTTTAATCTTTGTCATACAAAACTATGCTAAAATTTAATTTATTTTAGAAGATGCACCATTTAATTTTCAATAAAAGAACATATGAAACATTTTTGTATATAACTTAAAAATAAGAGAGTATGAAGGAAATACTGCAAATATGCAATCTAGAGTACTTTCCAGTCCCAAAAAAACAGTTTTTTCAATTAAGTTCCTTCCGTTTTGTGATAGGCAAAAAGAGACGACAGCTGTTTTATAGCACTCGAAAAAACTGTTTTGATTGACAAGGTTTTAAATTGTTTGTCATTATAAGCAGTTGGAAGCGACGTTTGTTTTCTTTTTGTCAGAAATTATCATGTCAGTTCGAAGGTTTATAAGGCACTTGAGAAAATTTATTTAACTGCGCAAAAATCGACCATTTTAAGATCGAATTTGTTTTCTTTTGAAGAAAAATAACTGTGCTTTTATATCCGAAAGGAAAAAGTTCTATAGTTCCGTTACTTTTACTGTGCTAAGACAAAAAAGCCAAATTTTCTTGTTTTTAGGATGAGTTTTGGTAAAATCGCTTTTTGTCTACGAAAAACATGTTTAAAACGAACCTACTATATACGAAAAGAAAAAGGCGGCACTCTGGTGCACCAGAATATATATTCTATTCCAGTTTGATGTATGGCAACGTGTTCAAAATAAATTTATTTCCCAGTGTCTTCTGGATTAGGAAGTACTCCAAATTACATATTAGCAGTGTTTCCGTCATAATCTCTTATTTTTAAGTTATATACAAAAATGTTCAATATGTCTTTTATAGAGAATTAAATAGCGCATGTTCTCAAACAGAATTAAAATTTTAGCATATTTCTGGACTGAAATATGTGCAAAATACAGAATATTGCGCTCGGTAAAAGAGTGTTGTGCTGTCGTCTACAAAGTTAAACTGTTCTTTCATAAATCATCTTGAACTTTATTATCCATTAGGTTTTATCATTATGAGCACCTGACTAAAATGTTTTATCCAAAACAGACCACTGTCGCTTTCATCTTCGTTTTTGATCGATTTTTCGAAATGTACAGTACAAAGATGAAGTTTCTAAATGAACATGGAAACCACTATCTGAAATATAAGAATTAAGATAAAGTAAAGATGATCAGAGATATCAGGTATGAAATAAAAATTAGATGCATGTTAAAAATCAATAATCAATACATTGTTACCCGATGATGAACGTTCTTGGTCGTGTAACTGTTCGGTAAATACTCAATAAGTGTTAGAAAAATTAACAGTTATTTTCAAAATTGCTTACTCGTCTTGAACTTTACAAATATTTCTCCAGGATCGCCACAGCTGATTTTATTTCGATGAAGTTATGTGTAAAAATACTTTATCTGACAAGTACTTGAACGTGGATTCGAATATGAAACGTATTGTAGCAGAAATAAATTTGATTTTAATTCCAGCATGAATTTTTTGACGTATTGTGAGAATTTGAGTTCATTACCTGTAACATACATCTGTTACACATTTCTGTTTGTCAAGAAATGGTTCCTCATTGTTCAAAATATTGAGTGTATTAACAAAAGTAACAAAATTCGAAAAAAAAAAATTTCCGTAAAGAATATTGTTTTATACGTCATTCTGTACAGTTGGATGAGCTGATTCCAAATATTACATTGCTTAAAAACACTTTAGAAGTAGAGACAGTAGAACTTCATTTGAAAAACCATCATTTTTTAGAAAACTTATATGACGGAAATAAATAAATATGCACCAACACGCTAATTTTATAGATGCACCATACACCGAAGAAGATATTGCAAAGTTTGAGTAAGACTGAAGTTGAGGAAAAATGCGAAAACACCTTACACTACATCGTGTTTTCAGAAATAGATAGCTCATACTATAGACTTTTTTATCTGTTGAAATAAAAGAAAAAACAATAGTTTCGTTTTTTTGCTAAAGATGCCCACTGTACAAATTAAGTAAGGAAGAGTAGTTTTGATATTATTGTCATAATATGTCATAGTTTGGAAGTGTTGCTCGTCCTGTTATTAGTCGATAGGCAATCAGCTAACTAAATGCGCAGGAAGATGTGATCTCATTTTTACAGATTTTTCACATTTCTACGATTAAACTTAAATCATTTACTGCACGGAGTATTATGGCAATACTTCTTTTCAGAAGAAAATTAAAAAGCATTTTGGTGAAAACTTATATAGTGAATTAACCCATTTTTGGCTAGTTTTATGGAATTTTTAAAAAATCAAAATTCCTAGAGAGTTGATTCAACGATTTCAAGATACGCTGTGTCTTGTCCGCACTATACAATGAGGGCCAATACAAGTTTTAAAAACTAATATAAAATCTTTTGGATTTTAAAATGGTTTTCTGGAAATTTTTCGGACTAACAAAATATTTTCCAGTAGTCTTAAGTACAGAACTGGATTGAGCAGAGGAAGTACAGTGTATCTTCACAGTCTGAGATAGTTTTGACCGATTTTCAATGAATTTTGATTGTTGAAAATTTCTGTGAAATTAGCTCAAAACGGGTGAGTACAAGAAGGAAAAGGCGTCTCCCGAAGACGCTAGGAACTATAGGAATCTCTATGGAGACGAGTGTATTTAAGTTAAAAGGCCGAGATCTACGTTTTGAAAATAGTGATTCATCATGTGTATAATTAGTTTTTATACGTTTTTATTACGCATAGAAGTAAAAAGTTATGTATTAAAATTCACGCTTGAGTGAAATTACAATGGTTGATGTGTTGAGTTTTATAGATGACAGTGGGTTGTCGAAGAAAAAAGTGGTGTGTATGAATAAACAGGTGGTTGGAAAAACAGAATGACTGTTTCATATCGTGTATGTTAATGTGATAAAAAGTAGACATATGGAGATATTAGGAGCCAAAAGGGACCATAAAGAACTACAAGGAGCCAAAAAAGCTGTGGAGACACTTTTTCCATTTTATTTATTTATTCGCGCGATGGCAAAGAGAAAGGGTATAGATAAAAGTTGAAGGCTTATAGAAGCCTATCCCATGGCACACAAAGATAAAATTACAAATTAGTAGTAAACAAATTGAAGGAAGAAAAAAGTCGTGAAGATCGTTCTTTTTTTGAACAGACAATGCTTTATAAATTGAACTTTTTGCTTCTTTGTTTTTAGGCAAGTGGCGATTAGTTGTCGACGAATTCTTTATTTATTTCGAGGTTTGTGCTGCAGAGTTGAAAAAGTGTCTCTCTCATTCTCCACTTAAATACATAGTGTTATCGAACGGATAATGCAGATAGATTTTGCTTTAGCTTCGAAACTTTGATATCCTAATAGGTTCGGCATCGATACAATTGATGGAGGCATATTTTAATGAATTGTTAGGTTAAGACGTATGCCAATGAAATTCCAACAGAAATATAAAACATTTTCCTTTCTGTTTCCATTCTAAGACTGTCCCTTCCATAAATGAATTAGATTACATATACATGATTATAGACGATCAAACAAACATGCAAGTCTTTTGCTTTGTGTGTATTTGTTTCTTTACTTCTTGAAATACTGAACTGTTCTTTTGTAGTCTTTGTCATTTATCTCTGTGCATTACTCTCGCCGTCGTATGAGAAAAACATTACAGAAAAAGAAGAAAGAGGAAACGACCGCTGACGTTGATCAAAAAAATGACAAAAATTATGAATAAGCGAAAGAGAACAAAAAAAAAACATTCAACACATAGACACGTTTATACATTCTATAATAGTTGTTTTTTAAAAGTAAAGCAAGTGACGCGAACCGACATCGAAAGCTGACAGATCGTATTTCAGCTCTACAGAAACTGAGTAATGTATCCAAATCTGGGACCCTCAGCTCCACCTCCACCAACCAGTCAACAATTGAACACTCCACGCGCATCTCAGAGTGGACAAGGAGCATCTACAGGAGTTTCCACATCATTACCGCCGCAACAGCAACATCCGGGGCAGCTACAAAACACTCCGTATCCACCGTCTGCATCAATCAACTCTCCGTATCCACCTTCTACATCCGCCAACTCGCCGTATCCACCTTCTACATCAGTCAATTCTCCGTATCCACCTTCCACATCAGTCAATTCGCCGTATCCACCTTCTACATCAGTCAACGCACCGTATCCACCTTCTACTTTTGCAAACACTCCTTTTGCGCCATCTGCTTATGCCCCAAATCAACAATATCCTGGACAACAGCATCAACAAAATAGTTCTTATCCACCAGGTGGTTCCATGAATCAACCATCTGCGAACTCACCATATTCACAACAACAACCGGCCTCGTATTATCCGGGTCAACAAAATCCAAGTAGTTATGGCTCACCCTATTCGTCTATTGGAATGGGAGCAGCACCTAATCGCTATCCTCAGCAAAATCAGCCACCAAACACGAACTACAGCCAAAATGCTCCCAATCAAGGATATCCCCCAGGAGGCAGCGGATATCCTCCAGGAGGCAGTGGTTATCTCCCAGGAGGCAGCGGATATCCTCCAGGAGGCAGTGGTTATCCCCCCGGAGGCAGCGGTTATCCCCCCGGAGGCAGCGGTTACCCCCCGGGAGGCAGCGGTTATCCGCCTTCACAAGGGTATCCGCCACCTCAACAACAGGGTTATCCTCCATCGAACCCATATCAACCAAGTTATTATTCAGGTGCTTATCCAGGGGCAGGACCTCCAAATTATCAACAAACGCCGTATGGAGTTCCACCCCAACAACAGCCAGGTGGAGGCGGACCTGGTTTTGGATATCCAGGAGGTGCTTTTCCACCTCAACAGCAGCAAAGTAACTATTCAGCTCCATATCAACAAGGACCTCGTCCATCATTTGGCGTTGGCGGTGGTAACGACTCACGTATGCAACGAATAAATCAGATCGCACAAAAATATGAAATCAATCCTGCACTAGAAAGTCGTCTTCGAATATTAGAAGGTTTTGAAATCGTTTTGTTATGTGATGACAGCGGCTCTATGAACACACCATTAGAAATCGGCACGCAAACGCGTTGGGATGAAATGAAACAAATTGTCAACATTATTCTTGACATTTGTATTATATTTGATTCAAACGGCGTCGATATCTATTTCCTCAATCGTCGGCCCGTTCAAAACGTTACAAACATGTCTCAGCTGAACGAATGCTTTAGTTCCAAACCACAAGGTATGACTCCCATCGTGCCCACACTCCGAAACATTTTACGAACAAAAGGTGTTCAAGCAAATGAAGGAAAAAAACTATTGATTTTCATTGCAACCGATGGAGCTCCTACTAATGACCAGGGACAAGTTGATATTCAATCGTTGGAATATGTAGTTCGTAATGAACGTAATCCTCAAACCACGTATATCTCGTTTTTAGCGTGTACGGACGACAACGATTCAGTTGCTTATTTATCAAATTGGGATAAACAAATGCAAAATGTCGATGTTGTCGACGATTATAAAACGGAAAAACAAGAAGTACAGCGTCAGCGCGGCTATCAGTTTCCATTCTCCTATGGCGACTACATTGTCAAAGCTCTATTAGGAGCGATTGACCCATATTTCGATGCATTAGATGAAAGACCAAGCTAAATGTACATCTATCGAAAATTTTCTTCTTTCTCATTATAAAGAACATGTCTGTGCGTTTTATATTCAAATAAAGTTCAACATATAAGTAAGAATAGACAGTGATGAGAGAGAGAGAGAGAGAATGTGCAATAGAGAAAAAGAATAGAATGAATGTCAAACGAGTACACTTTAACGAGTAGTTATAACACATAAAGGGACGTTATTTGTTGACAGGACTGTTCTATATATCGAATTTCACTAAAAAATCTATATAAGTATGTTTCCTATAGTATAATAACTATAGATGACGTTACTGGCTCACTGTTCTCTCTGTACTATGAAATGAAATACAGTCAGGATACTTAACTTTAATTAAGAAATGAACTGAAACTTTACAGCTGATTATGGAAAAAGAATGATTAGGAAAAGAAGTCAAGATAAACGAAAAACATTGATTACTAATGCAAATTTACACTTTGATTTTTTTCCGTGACTAGACTAGATGTAACCATTTCAGTATGAATAATCTGATGTGTACTCTCTCAAAGGATGACGTCAAAACATCGTCCATAAACGAGTAAAGATGCTGCTTTTATGGTAAAAATTACGCGAAGTTCTTTTCCAAATATGTTAGTTGTTATATCTAATAGAATTAGAACAATCATTGATTTGCTCCTTTGTGATAGAACGACAAAATTTATTAGATACATTAAACCTGTCTAACATATAAAAGTCAATAAAGGTAACGAAAATTCATTCAATCACATTATACGCCAAAAGTATAATATTAATACTAGTAAGTAATTGCTTAATATCTTTTACTGTTCTATAGGCACAACGAAGTCAAATAGTACAACAGATTAATAATAAAAAAGAAATAATAAAAAAAACAAGAAAAAGAAAGAAATTTAAAAAAATAATATGTGATCGTCAAACTGAAACATATTATTATGAATTGATTGAAATGATGAAGTGACATGAACTACATACGTTTACATATGTCACTACAGACATTTGGAGAAAAAGTTGGATTTCTACCGCAGGCCTTTTATGAAAAATCACATAATGAAATATGGAAAATGCGCATCATTTTCTATTCTTGTTTGTTCATCCAACGAATTTGAAGCTCACTATTCAGTTACTGCGTGCTTTAATTTTAGTAAAGTCGATACATTTAGCCGCTAGATCACCTACCGTTTTGTCGTATGAAATAATTAAGCAGGGCTTCCACAATACAAACATTTTCCAAAACGAAATTCTTATCGTGGAATTTTTTTTTCATGTTTTCCCATGTCTTCAATGTTGTTTTAAAATCAGTGATTATCGCGTTTTTCTGAAAAATTGCCCAGAGTGTTCTTCATGATCTTCTCAGAGCTGACTCGTTGTTTCGACAATGATCAGCTTTTGAATCGAGGGACTTGATGATCAACTGAACTTCTGAGTAGTGTCTCAAACCGATTAATCGGATGAAGAGGGTTCGAGTAGTCGGCACTGTCATAAGAAAGTCATTATAAAACAAAACTCATATTTCTGAAGACAGTCTCTAAATGATTGGATGAGTCATCGTATGACTCATCAGATGCTATGTACACATAAAAAAGCGTACTGCTAAGCAACGGCGATTCGAGATTGTCAAAGGTGTTTTCGTGAACGCTTAATGACGATAGATGCGTACCAACCGTATTCAAGATTTACACAAGTCTCATTGTTCTAGTGAAAGTTCAACACTGTATTTTACTTGTAGGTTGAGGAATCCACCAGATAATAATGGTAGAATAATGATTAATATGCAAAGAAAGAAAGAAAGAAAGAAAGACGTACTTTGTCGGTTTAACGTCATAAAGATGCCAATTCACTTATATATGAAATTTTTTTCGCTAAGTGTTGACAGTTGTTTTTCACTAGATAAAAGTACAAGATGGAAGAAATAAACCGTTAAGTACGATAGAGGAGGCTAGATGCATTATACGTAACTTACGTACGCATAACTTCACACCTAACGTGATTCATGATCATTAATCATCATGATTCTTCCTAAAATGAATTATTGTTGTGCTTAATATGATAATTTCTTTTCTCTCTCTGTTCTTGACTCTCTGAATAAACTTGCTTCTCGTATTATTTCTCATATGATTATCGTTTTTCTAGTTCTTTAATTGTATCACAACTTTCTCTTCCAATTCTCTCTCTTGGCGGTAAATATTTTAGACTTGTTCAATTTTTTAAAATTTACCATCATCTTAGTCCTCTCTCCATTTTTTTATCTTGTTCATCGTCCGCACTGCTTCTTTACGCCTTCATTACTCTAAACATGTTCGCAATCTACCTCTTGTTAACGGTCTTTCTTCACAAACAGGTTTCTCCTCCTTTATTTATAGAACTGTCACTGACTGGAATAAATTACCCGAATCCGTGATTTGTTTTTCTTCTTTATCATCATTTAAAAGAGCACTATCTCTTACAGTAAAGTACAGCCATATTTGAAGCCATTCTTTTATTTATTTTCTTCTATTCTTTTTATTTTATTTTCATTTGTTCACTTGATCTGTCTCTGTCCATTACTCTAGTTTTCTTTTGTCAAATTATCTTTACTATTTTATTGCCTCGGGTCATTGTTATTACAAGTCGGAGACCTTTGATGATTCTCACTTTTCGTGAATAAATACTAATACTATGCTTATTTTCCTTATCACAGCACGCATCATAAAGTCTACAACGCGTAACGATCGTTATTTTCCTAACGGTACCGACTTTAGATGAAAAGAAATGAGTCAACAGACTTTTCTCAAGATGTAAGTCCAGACTTTATCATTTTTCTTGTTTCTGTTTTTAGATCTAATTTTTAAACGTGGATGATGATGTATTTTTTGTTTTACTTCCTAATTGTATATTTACTAATTAATCAAAATGTTCAATCAATCAAGGGCCAACAATGTAAGGAAAACAAGGAAATAACGTCCACAACTATGTTTTGCATCGACTCAGTGTTTCTAACAGAATTTATCCGCTGAACGTACGAGTACGCTCTGTTTTTTCAGCCAAAACGTATGTGTACATTCTGTTTTTTTCGCAAAACGTACACGTTTCAAATCTAAAAAAGGACACATCAATTAGACATCAGGAATTAGAGGAGAAAAATAGAAATTTTCTTTATACAAGTTTGAAAGCAACTTTGAAGACACAGACAATTACTAGGCATGCAACAGTTTTTTTTCGTATTTTTCAAAAAATGGTTTGTATTTTTGCAGCGACGAAACTGTGAAATTTTCTGAAATCAACAGTTTTGTAAGAGTAAACATTTCTCTACAAGGTGGTATATAGTAGATATTTTTAAAGTTGCTTGATCTCTTTACAAAAAGGTTTTTGATAGGATGACCCGGTAGTTAAAACAGCGGTTTTTAACTACTGAATAAAACCGCTGTTTTAACTGCTGGGTCATTCTATCAAAAACCTTTTTGTAAAGAAATCAAGCAACTTTAAAAATATCTACTATATACCACCTTGTAGAGAAATGTTTACTCTTACAAAACTGCTGATTTCAGAAAATTTCACAGTTCAAAAACACAAACTATTTTTTGAAAAACGAAAAAAAAACTGTTGCATGCCTAACAATTAGAAATAGAGAAAAACGTCACTGATCTTGTGTAACAAGAAAAAAGTCTCCTGCTCCAAGCAGCAGAATGACTCACTGGTTAAAAAAAGCTTTTCTTATTTTCTCTTAAATATAACAAAAGTTCTATTAGTAAACAAGTAAAACAGCGATAGCAAATCGTACACTGTATACTCTGTTTTTCTCAGCAAAGCGTAAACAGAGCATATTTTTAAATTCCGAAACGTTTAAAACGTACGTTTTGCTGTTAGAAACACTACAGGGTGGGTAAAAATGTTTTTCCAGGGTAGTAACGCTATAATTGCAAATAGGGTAAGTAATGAATTTTATACCAGATGAAAGCCCGTCGAAAACGGGAATTATTGATGCTAAATAGCAAGTTTTATCAAAGCATTTTAGTG